TTGAAGTGGCCGTCCTTCATGCGCAGATTTTGGCTGACTTTGCCGGTCCGTTCTTCCCCTCCTTCGCCCTTGCCGCCCCCCGCAGCATGACCTCGGGAGTTCAGCGTCCTCAGCTGCCTTGCTCGGTTGAGCTGCCCCCTTTCTGTGCGCGTGAAGTCACTGGCCCTCGATGCCAGCCATTCGTAGGTCTTCATACAAGTACCATACTCATCGTTGCAATGATCATAGAGTGCGAGGGTGAAACGCATGCAAGGGCATCCCTGCATTTGGCGGTAGGTGTGTTCCTGCGAGGCGGTGCGAAAGGAGGCGTCTAATTCCTCGATTTCGTCGGGTGTCCTCGCCCATTCGTGGTAGAAGTGGGGCAGGTCGACATCCGCCTTCTTGCCCGCGCCGCGGATCTTTATCTCCATGAGACCCGTGCACGCGCGCGCCTGGCCATGATCCTGCCGGGTAGTCACGCTCGCGGTAATGATGCGCAAAATCTCACGACCTTGCATTATGCTACTGGCGGTCTGCGAGGCGATATCTAGCCGCTCAGTTTCGCTCGCAAGGTGGCGCAACTGTGGCGATGATTGTCGGTCATTCACGATCCCGTTCACCCTTCGACGAAAGATCTGCTGAGATCGCCAGGTCAAGCCGGATGAAAATACCCGGGTCTCTCTACCCCTTCGCATCAACATTTGTCATGTCAAAAGCGTTCGGCATGCAGCTAACGGCCCCCGTCGCAACTCGGCGAGGCCGAATCCGCCGCCCCGACGACGTTTCGCCTCGACCGCTGGTAGTTGGCAGCGCCGGGAATCGCTCCAAGACGATCTCCGCAGTCTCGCCTGTCATGCGTTCCAGTGCGGGGCAGAGGCCGGGGCAACGTCCACCGACGGGAACGGGGGATATCCTCGCCGCCCCCGCCGCCACTCGGCGAGCCGCCTCGCCGCGCCGGCGCCGGAGATCTGGATTGTTCCCCCCGTCTCCATCTGGCGTCGAGCGTTCGTCGTCTTCAGGGAAGTCATCGCCGTCATCCTCGCCATCGCCGTCGCCGTCATCTCCGCCGCCGTTGCCACGAGGTCCAGGGCCGGGGCGGGGCGCTCGTGCCTTCCGCGGGCGCGTCGACTCATTATCCTTATATTTCTTCTTGAAGATGCTCGGCAGACCCCCCGGCGCTGGAGGCGCGCATCCCGGGGGGGAGGCAGCCGCGCTAGCGCGGGCCGCCGCCGATTCTGAAATTCCCACGGCGGCGGCCGCTTCAGCCTTTTCCTCGCGCATCTCCTGGGTCCTCACCCTGCGCTCAGCGCGCGTCCTGACGTTCCCCTCTTCGTGCTGCGTCGCCTGCTCGAGCTTTCCCATGGGTTTCTAATTTGCGGCCCTCGCTGCTCGCTCAAACACAGGAAGCCTCTTCGACTCGGCGCTCTCGGTCCGACGACCGCCACTTCCCGAGGCGTAGCCCTGGGCGCGAATGGGCCGAAGCGAGCGGTCGCGAGAGGGCGCCGTCGGCATGGGCGCCGCGGCGCTGCGGTACTGAAGTGTCTTTCTGGCCGGGCGTTCCTTACTTTCTTTCCCCCAAAGCATTTCCTCATCTTCGTCCTCTTAGCTGCCGAGCCCCCTCCGTAGCAGCGTGCGCACATCTTGCCATCCTTTCCAAAGTGGTCGTCGCATGCGCTTCCGTTGCAAACTGGGCAATCGCGACTCGCTACTTTGGAGCAGAGAGAAAAGCACGGAACTCCGCATGGGGATTATGACCAAGAGTTTCCCTGCGCGGCCGGTCACCCAACCGCTGTCGGCGCCGACGATTTCGCAGTAGATGCGGCCGCTGCATTCGCCTGGGTCGTAGACCCAGTGTCCCGAGTCATTGCTGGAAACGCCCCTCTCGGATGATATTGTATCTGGTGCTGATCAAACTTCCGATTCAAACAGTCTCGTTCCATTTCCCGTGTCATCACCACTTGGGCAGCTTCCTTCTCTGGCCCGCGAGTCTGCGCCGCGACCATCTCCTCAGTAATCGCCTCTACTCGCCGCATTCCCTCGCCAGCGCGTAGCATCTCGGCCTCGGATCGAGCATAGCTCTCATCCGCGACGAATCGGTTCGCCTCGGCCTGCTGCAGAGCAGCGGCAGCCTCTGCCGCCAATCGCGCATTCCGATTCTCTGCTGCTTGCGACTCCGTGGCGTGCCTGTACCATCGTCGCTCGTCGAGCTTCGCCGGCCCCCAAGACGGCGCTCCTCGCTGCTTCTGCCAGATGCTTCTCCGGATGATGTGCCTGACGCTCGGAGGCAACAGTAGATTCGAGTCCACTGGCGAGCTCTATGATTTCCTCCGTCGCGGCACAAGCCTGTTGGGCAGCCGCCGCCGCCTGTTGACGCTCTTCCCGGGAGCGCGCGGCATTCACCATGGCCTGCTGGTGTCGCTCCAATTGAGAAGCAGCAGCCGCTTGTTGTTGAAGTTCCAATTGTCTCAGCTGCTCACGTATATCGTCCAGATCTCGCTCCCTTACCTCCATGATCCCCAACCTCTGCATTTCCTCTGCTTCGCGCCACTCGTTGACGCGTAACCCGGCGCAGTTATGCGTGCCGGGAGCCGTGCACGTCGGGCACGGGATGTTCAGGTTGCAGACAGCGCAGATATCGGAGCACCCGAAACAGACAGGTTTCTTACACTGACCCAATACGCCGGGGCATCGCGACTCTGGCACCACGGCGCACCTTGGCCCATAATTGGCACACTTTGCATTGACCCGCATGCTGAAGGTACTCGATTTACCAGATAAGTTGGACAGGCCAGATACTTCGGATCGCGGTCTCGGGGCCCTGGGATGTCCTCTCTCTGTGCTTTTCTTGCAGGGAGAGCGGGCACGCAGGTCAGGGGATTCTAGCGTCGAGTTCCGCCTTGAAGACCCACGGGTTCAGCTCCCGGGGCGCCCCCCCCCCCAGGAATGGACATAGAGCGTTGCTCAGGGAGATCGCCAGACCTACTTCGCTTCCCGAGCGGCGAGGTAATCGAAAACCTAACAGACTCACGTCGCTGTTTGCTCGCCATCCGTACGGGGCCGTCTACGACCGCCTTGTGTATGATATCCTCCAAGTGCCGTTCTAAAGAATCATCATATGGAGTCGCAGTATATTCGCCACGCATGGGCGGCGCCTGCTCGTGAGGTTGTTGTAGGACACCTAAAAGAACAGGAGACATTCGGTCATGGACCTCGTACCCCTTGTCATGCGATTCCTGATCATCACGGAAGCCAGTCGGCTTCGGCGCTGGCCGGCGAAATACATTTTTCTCCGGTGATCTGGTCTCCACGTTACGATCGTCACTCAAGAGTTGCTCGGAAGCGTCCGCTTGATTGCCGAGCGGCACGAGGTCCAATTAATCGTCTCCTTCTCGGCTTTGCCGAATGGTGGCCTTAATCACCGCTCTCGGAATACCAGGACGAGGCTCATCAGCATACGAGAGGTTCCAAGATATTTTGGTGGGAAGAAGTTGGCTCGATTCCCCGACATCGTCAGCGGAACCGTGTTCAGGAACATTCACGCTGGTCTCATGGCGTACATCATCTTTGTATGGGAGGAGCATCATTCCACCATCTGGTCGGACCACTTTTGTCGAAGAGAGCACTTTCGGTTGATAACAAGTGTTTTGTCATTTTTTGTTGATACGGTCTTATCATTGAGCATGCTGGTAAGCAAAATGTGTTAACGATCGTGTTGTAATCCTTCATCCTCGTCATCTTCTTGTCGGAGCCTCTTGCTCAGGCTTACCTTCAGAGTAAGTGATGTAGGTGATGCGTCCCTCCATGCCATTGCGAGCTAACTACAAGCTGCTAAGCGGGAGGGCCGGCCGGCCGAGGGACGGGCGGGCGCATGCTTTTCTTACTTGAACCAACTCACAGCAGCTGCGACGACGCCGTGGATCATCGGAAGTTGGGGGTGGGATCGCAGTGAAGCGGAGACCCCCGCCGGAAAATCGGTTTCGGTTTCGTGTTCGTGTCGCGCGTGCGGGCGAGGCGAAGCTGCGCGTGAAGTAGCAAGGCCGAAGTAGGGGCGAACGTCCGTTTCCCGTCCGCCGGTGGCCGGGAGGTGTCCCAGTTGGGCTGGGCGGTGTCCCGGGTGTCCCGGGTGTCAGTCGGAGCGAAAGCCCGTTTCCCGTCCGCCAGTGGCCGGGAGGATCCCAATTGGGCTGGGCGGTGTCCCGGGTAGCCTGGGTGTCCCGGGCGTCCTGGCGCACGCATGTCGCTAATCTCATAATTCATTTTTGTCGGCGCCTGCGGCGGGCTTTCTTATCCAATCCAGCTTATCTTATCCAATCCATCTTGTCCAATCCAATCCAGCTTATCTGATCCAACCCATCTTGTCCCATCTTATCGTATCCCACCCAAACCTATCCACCCAACCCCATCCACCAATCCATTTAATTATGCACCTGCGGCGGGCCAATCTTATCCATATTATCTTATCCAATCCATCTCTCCCAATCCAACCCATCTTATCTTATCCAACCCATCTTTCCCATCCAATCCAACCCCCCAACCCAATCCATCAATTCATTTTTGTCGGCGCCTGCGGCGGGCTTTCTTATACAACCCAGCTTTTCTTATCCAATCCAACCCATCTTATCTTGTCCAACCCACCTTGCCCCATCTTACCTTATCCCACCCAATCCAATCCACCCAACCCAATCCATCAATTCATTTGTTTCTGTGCCTGCGGCGGGCAAATCCAATCCGTCTTATCTTATCCAATACATCTCTTCCAATACAACCCATCTTATCTCATCCAATCCCTCTTATCCCATCCAATTCAATACGCACAGAGGTTAGAGAGAGAGAGAGAGACACAGAGAAAGAGAGAGATGAGATCAAGGTGACAGGCTGGGGGTCAATCAGGGCGGGAATTTGATCTCAATCCCCCCACCCTCCTTATCGCCCGCAGGGCGGTCGTATAGGTAGGTGGGCCCCGGCTGATGACTAAACCAACTAAACGGACGACGACGACGAAAACGACGATCGCGACTGGCCTCGACCGCTCTGGGGCCTCCTCTGGCTCGCCCTCCGGCGCGCCCGGGTCATCCTCGTCTGCCATGGCCCCCCCCGCGCGGGCCACGACGAGGGTCGGCGGGCGGCGGCGGCCCAAGGCCGCCGGGGCTCGAGGGGACTGCTCATCCACCACCTCCTCCTCCTCTTGCTCCACCTCCACTTGCTCCTCCTCCTCATCCTTCACTTGCTTCTCCTCGTCGTCATCCTCCTCCTCCACCTCCTCCCCCTCCTCCTCCTCCTCCTCCTCCTCCTCCTCCTCCTCCTCCTCCTCCTGCACCTCGTGCTCGTCCTCGTCCTCCTCCTCGTCCTCTTCCTCCTCCTCCTCCTCCTCCTCCTCCTCCTCCTTCTGCTCCTCATCCTCCTCCTCCGACTGCTCTGTCCTCCTCCTCCTCCTCTTCCTCCTCCTCGACCTCCTCCGCCTCCTCCTCCTCCTCCTGCTCCTCCCCGTCCTCCTTGTTCTCCGCCTGCTCCTGATCCTCCTCATCCGCCTACGCCCCTTCTCCATCACCTCCATCACCTCCTCCTCCACCTGCTCCCCCTCCTCCTCCTCCTCCTCCCTCCTCCCTCCTCCTCCTCCTCTTCCATCCTCCTCTCCTCCTCCTCCTCCGACTGCTCCTCCTTTTACTCCACCTGCTCCCCCTCCTCCTCCTCCTCCTCCTCCTCCTCCTCCTCCTCCTCCTCCTCCTCTTCCTCCACCGACTTCTCCATCTCCTCCTTTTACTCCACCTCGTCGTCGTCCTCCTCCTCCTCCGTCACCTGCTCCTCCGCCTCCTCCTCCTTCCTCTGCTCCTCTACCGTCAGTTGCTCCTCCTCCTCCTCCTCCACCTCCTCCTCCTCCTCCTCCTCCTCCTCCTCCTCCTCCTCCTCCTCCTCCCCCTCCACCTCCTCCTCCTCAACCTCCTCCTCCTCCTTCTCCTCCTTCTCCTCCTCCTCCTCCCTCCTCCTCCTCCTTCTCCTCAACCTCCTCCTCCTCCTCCTCCTCCTCCTCTTCCTTCTCCCCCTCCACCTCCTTCTCCTCCTCCTCTTCCGCAACCTCATTCTCCTCCTCCTTCTCCTCCTCCTTCTCCTCCTTCTCCTCCTCCACCTCCTCCTCCTTCGATTCCACGATCTGATCCTCCCCCTCCACCTTTTTCTTCTCCTCCGCCTGCTGCTGCTGCTGCTCTTCCTCCTCCTCCTCTTCCTCCAGCTCCTCCTCCCTCATCCTCCTCCCCTCCCCCTTCTTATCCTCCTCCTCCTCTTCCTCCGCCTCCTCCGCCTCCTCCTCATCATCATCATCCTCCTCCCCCTTCTCCTTCTCCTCCTCCTCCTCGTCCTCCTCCTGCTCCTCCTCCTCCTCCTTCTCCTCTTCCCTTCTCCTGCCTCCCTCCTCCCTCCTCCCTCCTCCCTCCTGCCACCTCCGCGAGTTGCATGCCAGCCTCTGCTGACGGGCCTATTGCTCAATCAGCATCGGAATCCTAAATCCCTTCCTCCTTCTCATCCTCCTCCTCCTCGTCCTCCTCCTCCTTGTCCTTGTCCTTCCCTTGGTCCGAAGTGAGGGGGAAAGGCAGGACTTCTGATTCCAGGTCCTCATGCTTTGGATTCAGCCCTGAAAACTGACCTCTGCAATACTTACACAACGGGCTCGTTCGACCAATTTCGGGCTCCGGGACCCTCACAGGTCGATATGGCTCGAAAAAAGGTGCAGAACGATTGGGCCCCAGGCTCTGGTGGTGATTTTCACGATGTTGCATTGTTTTCGCAACGTCGGATCTCAGGGCAGGTCCTCAACTGCCTCCCCCCTCCTCGTCTTCTTTTCCATGTCCTCCTCCTCCGGCCCCCCTCCTCGACGAGCACCCCCCGCTCGTGGCCCGGTGGCAGTCGTGGGAGCCACAAGGAAGAGGGGAACCCCGCGGTCGGGAACTGCCGCTTCGCGGGACGCGGCGGCGGCCCTGGTGGCACGCTGTGCCCTGCAAGCGGTTCGCGTCTCGCGGCCGCTCCGCGGGGCGGGAGGCTGGGAAGGACCCGGGCCCATGCGCTTGGGGAGCGCCGAGGCGTGGCGGGCCAGAATCCACAGCGTGACGCCCGAAGCCGAAGTTCCTGGCCGTAGCGCGCGCACGGTGTTGGGCCGCCCACACGAGCTCCGTCTCATGGAGGGTCCAGGGAGGGAGAAGCAGGTCGGGCATGTACGCCTACAGGCGGAGCTTGACAGAACAGTTAAAGAGTCAAAATTAGCCGGACGAAGGACCCAACCATATGCAGCTGCGAGTGCCGCATTGTGGGTACCGCTTTCGGTGGAGCTCCCTCTGGGGCCACGAAACGTGCGAGGGGTGCGCCGAAATCGGTGGCGCGGACGCATGCGGACACCGCCCCTGGGGCCTTCGGTGGAGCTCCATATGGGGCCACGAAACGCTGTCTTGGGTGGGGGAGACGCATGCGAACTGTGCCATTGGGACCTTCGGTGGAGCTCACTATGGGGCCACGAAGCGCTGTCATGGGCGGGGGAGACGCATGCGAACTGCGCCACTGCCGCCTCCGGTGGAGCTCCCTATGGGGCCACGAAACGTTATCCCGGGTGGGGGAGACGCATGCGAACGGCGCCACTGAGACCTTTCGGTGGAGCTCCCTGTGGGGCGACGAAACGCTGTCATAGGTGGGGGAGACGCGTGCGAACAAAGCCACTGCCGCCTTCGGTGGAGCTCCTTATCGGGCCACGAAGCGCTGTCCCGGGTGGGGGAGACGCATGCGCCTTCGGTGGGGCTCCCTATGGGGCCACGAAGCGCTGTCCAGGGTGGCGTTGATGCATGCGGAACCTGCCACTGGAGCCTTCGGTGGAGCTCCCGATGGGGCCACGAAGCGCTGTGCTGGGTGGCGTTGACGCATGCGAGCCCTGCCACTGGAGCCTTCGGTGGGGCTCCCTATGGGGCCACGAAGCGCTGTCCTGAAAGGCGTTGACGCACGCGGACTTTGCAATTGGAGCCTTCGGTGGGGCTCCCGATGGGCCCACGAAGCGCTGTCCTAGGTGGCGTTGACGCATGCGGACCCTGCCGCTGGAGCCTCCGGTGGAGCTCCCTATGGGGCCACGAAGCGCTGTCCTGAACGGCGTTGGCGCACGCGGACTTTGCAATTGGAGCCTTCGGTGGGGCTCCCTATGGGGCCACGAAGCGCTGTACTGGGGGGGTGGGGAGGAGGAGGCGGAGGAGAGGAGAGGAGAGGAGAAGAGAGGAGAGGAGGAGTGACGCGGGGCGCTGTCTTTTCGAAACAAGGACACAACACCACAAGATGGTTGGGGAACATCAAAAATAGTCAAAAGAGCACGACACATCGTCACCTGACTACTTAGTCTTGAACAGTCCTCCTGTACGGAACATGCCCGGCTTAAGTCCGGGGCGGAGAAGGAAAGCGGGGCGAGGCCTCTCAGCTGCGGGCCTGCTTCGCGAAGCCTGATACCGCCAGGACGACGGCCAGAGACTGCCACCCGAAGTGCAAGAGCATCCCCACCAGGTAGTACCGGACGGGGGAGGGGGATCAGGAGCTGCCACCCGATGTCTCCTCCCTATCTTTCTCTTCCTTCTCCATATGTTTCCATATACGTAACACGCAACTCCTCCCTGCCGCACCCCCCGACGTGTCGGTGGTGCGGGCCGAGAGTTCCGCGTCAGACTTCTTCACCACGTGAGGTCCTACAGCTTAGGATTCGTCACAATTTCAAGAATGGAGGGCGGGTGGACTTCAATCCGTCCCTCTCGCCTCAGCGCTGGGCAGATCCGTCTGAAAAGTTCACGATGGCTCCAAGGATGGAGGGCGGGTGGTCTGTGCCGTGCACATTCGTCGTACAATTTGGAACAACTTCAAAAATGGAAGGCGGGTGGTTTTGGAAATGTTGCTCTCGCCTTATCACCGCGTGCATTCGGTGTAAACGTTTGCTATCGTTCCATCGATGGAGGTCGGGTCCTTTTCAAAATGTGACTGTGGCATGCGAGCCGCGCACATTCGGCTTAACCGTCTGCAGCAGCTTCACGGATGGAGGGCGGCTCCTTATACGAAACGTGCTGGTCTCCCCTTCAGTGCCAGGCACACTCGTCTTAACAATGTGCAGCCGTTTTAAGGATTCGTACGGTTGAAATCACAAGTCTTGGGGGCGGCGTTCTTGCATTACTCAGGATTGTCAAGGCGCAACAGTCACGCTGATCTGCGGCGTCGACATACCAGGAACGGTGTTTTGGCCAGTGCGGCACTCCCTGCACGGACAACAAGTTCTTGCAACACCCTATTGAGTGGATCGTTGCAGGGAGGGTTTACTGCAGCATCGTTGACGCGTCTTGGGTATACACTGGTGCTCCTCATCCTCGCACGTAGCTGCGCATCGGGGTCTACCAACCCTCCCTAGTCTCAGCCTGCTGCAGCACCTGGGCACGCGCTGCGCGTGCCGAAGTTGCGAGAGGCGAATGAGACAGATGAGAATGACAGGCGAGATTGTAGAGATAGGAAGCAATGGCAAATCGCTCTTCGTCACTCACCGAGCGAGCGAGCCCCTGGCGTTTCTCGCGGTGGCCCTCCCCTGTGCCCCATCTGTGCCAAAAAGGGTCACAATTGCTCTGAGATCCGGGCGCTGTCGCCCGGCTTCGGGCCTCGGGACCTTCCCACGTCGATCCGGCTCGAGAGGTGCCGCAGACGTCTGCAGCACCTGCTCGGGAAGTTTCTGCCCGGGGCTCCCGTCGTGAGTTCTTCGCGGTGGTGCAGCTGTTTCCCGGCGTCGGATCCCATGGTCCGCCTCCTCCCCTGGGACAGGAGGCCCGCGCGAGCCTCGCACGCAGAGCCCCCCGCCCCGGGACGTCCAGAGACGGCCCAAACCCTCCTTGATCCTCGATCCCCCCTCCACTGGAGGAACGAAAAGAAACCGATACCGCCACTCCCTGGACCTCTCCTGGGTTGCGCTCCGACCAGAGTTGTTCGAGGCGAACCCAGCGGGAGGCCCGCAAGAGGGGGAACACGAGGGAAGGGTAGCGGAAAGTATGCGAACCTTTTCCTCCTCTGACCCTCCTCTGTGCTTCTTTTGTAACCCGATTCCGGGCCAAGGGCGCTGAGGCTTCTTACGCCACTCCAGGGTTCCCAATCTGTTGATTCGGTATAGAAGGTTGCAAGATCATATGTCCGAGCAGCTACTGCGGGTGGAATAATAATCTCACGCGACGCTCAATCTGCCAGCACTCGGCGACGGAGCGGTGTCGACAGCCTCTGTCCATCATGAGATGGTGGCCCCCCGATGTGGTGACCCCCCGGCGGCGCTGCCCCACGCCGCGGTGCTGCGGTGGAGCTTGCCGCTCCCCTGTGGCTGCCTCCACGGGCACGGAGCCGAGGCCGACCCGGGATCGGGCAGCGACCCGATTGCTCTGCGCCAGGCTCCGAGCTGCTTCGGGCCACTGCGGAGTGCCCCCGCCGCCAGGTCCTCAGAAGGAAGGCGGCGCAGCAATCGACAGCACCAGCTTGAGAAGGAGTCGCCCTTTAGGAATGAGGCTGTGGCACTGCTTGACGCTGCGAGCCGTCCGAGCCAAGGATGCCTCGTGCGACTCCTCTGTCTTGAACAGGGACGCCCACCATTCGCGCAGCTGCTGGGAGCCTTTCACACTCCAGTCAGGTGAATATTGTTGGTGAAGTGTTTTAGCGATCGCATGTTGACCTGTCGGAAGCACACGCGCACGTGCACGCGCACACACATGGTTTTGTGCCGCCGGCATCTCTGATCCGAGTTGCGGGCGGACCACGCTGGGGCACTGGCGAAGCAACCGCGCGAACGCGCACGAGCGAGCACGCGCACGCGCACGCCCACGCCCACGCGCGCAGACGCGCACGCGCAAGCGCACGCACACGCGCGCGACCTACTCCTGTCTGAAAGCCAGGCGTGCATACAATGCCAGGACCCCGCCCCCCGGACCCAGTCCCATCGCCCTCCCTACGCCCTGCTTAGATGTTAACCCCTATGCGTGGTGAGGTTCCAGCGCCAATGTGTTCGCGAGGGGAACGGTTGCAACAACTCATATCCATACGGAAGGTGGGCTCCAGCATCCAACTGTTGCGAAGGACGATGGCTTCGGCAGCCCACGGAGTTGGCTCCCGCACCCAGTTTTGACAAGAGAAAATCGCTCCAGCAGATGATGCCGACAAGACGGGTGGGCTGTCGCCTGAAAGGGAAGCCAGAGCGACCCACGCCGCAGGTACGAACCCACCTACAGCCGGTCAAACGTATCACGAGCAAAAGAGTCACCAACATGTAGGATAATGTGCGCGGCACTACGGCGAGAACAACCCTTTGCAAAGCACCCGCCCTCCATGTCTGCAACCGTGGGAAATAAAACGCTCGTGCGGGCCGCGTGGGCGAACACCACACTTCGAAACCGGCCTGCCCTCCATCCGTGCGACTGTTGGACGTGCTCCTGGCGAATGTGCGCGGCTCTGCCCCGAGAGCTCCACTTGTGGACGACCCGCCCTCCATCCGAGTAGTTGGCAGGAGAGCCCAGAATCGAATCGATAAGTCGGATCGGCGATCGAAATGAATCGGATCGGCGGAAATCGGCAGCCGAGTCGGGAGAAAGCCGAACCGGCAGAAATCGACAAGCTAGCAAGCCTCCGATAAGGAAGCGGAACCCAGATCGGAATCCCAAGTCGAATCGAATCGGAATCGGAAGCAGTCGAAATCGAATCGAATCGAATCGAATCGGAGGCATCGAAAGGAGCCCTGAGCTGGTGGAAGCTGCAAGCTTCAAGGTCACAGAAAGTGAGAAGACCTCAAAAGGCCCCCAACGACCCGCCCTGCCGACACGTCCAGTGGCGGGGCGAGAAACACATCACGCTGTCAACTTGGTTGAGGAGGAGGAGGGCGAGGAGAGGATCAATCCCAGGACGAGTTCGATGAGAGAAGGTGGTCTCAGAGGTTTGTGGATGTTCTGGGAGGTGGGGCGCACACTTTTTCAGTGTTCTAGGAAGTTCGAAGGCGTTATGAAAGCCTCTTGGACCTTCCCAGGGCCCTACACGCCGGTCGGAAGAAGTTCATAGAAATATGAAGTAGGAAGCCGCATCAAATAGATAGGGTTCGGGACCGCCCTTGTAATAACAACCAAAAGCCAAACCAGATCGGTAATTGAAGTAGGAAGGCGCTTGAAGTAGATTGGGTTCAACAACAAGTGAGTGCGACAAAGACGACGACGTCGATGAGGAACACTAGCAACAGGAGGAGCAGCGGCAGCAGCAGTTCGCTTGGGCACTTGTAGCCCTCCTCCAGGAAGGAGTTCAGCTCTGCCTGCGCATCGCTCGTCCTCGAGAGGGGGAGAGAAGACAGTAGGAGCTCGACAACTAGAAACCTTACGCAAGAAACCCAACCCTAAACCCATGGGATGTCCATTACTTGTTGTATGGGGACGTCACGCTTCCAATTGCAAAATCATTGGAACCCAAGAAATACAGGGCTCCCTGGAGGCAAACAGGGTGTTTCTTGGCATTGGTTTCCACCACGGACCGAGCACAAAGATGTTCAAAAGGCGCTGGCGTTTAGAACGAAACACAAAACGAACCCGATCGTTGCACAACGAGCCATTAAAACGAAACCGGTGCAAACGAACACGAAAAACGAAACGAGGCCACATCTCATAGAGAAAACAAAACGAAAAACGAAACGAACTTCGCAGACCGCGCTGGAAACAAAACGAACAACGAAACGAAAACATGGGACGACGGCTGGGGCTTGGACCAGACAAAACGACAAAACACAACACACGGACAACAACAAAACGAACAGCGAACCAAGGTTGCGGCGAGGGCTACAGGGCTGGGGCTAGGGCGAGGTCCCGTTTGAGGCGCGTGCGGAAACAAACGATCAACGAAACAAAGAACACCATCACCAACAAAACGAACAACGAAACGAAACATCAAGCAATATTCGATCGGCATTCTTATCAAGCGTAATCAGAACATCGAAGGACAACGGCGGCGCGAAACAAAACGGACAACGAAACGAACCTCGGAATGAACGTGGTACACAAATCGAAAAACGAAACGCAAGCTTGGAAACGCACCAAAACAGAACGAACAACGAATCGCGCGCCCCAAAAACTCTAAACATTCAAACGCGTATAATACAACAACGAACAACACAAAAAAAAACGCAAACAATAACGAAAAACACAACAAGGGCAAACACCAACCTACTAAACAGCGCTGTGCTCGGTCTTTGGTTTCCACTGCACGCCGAAACCAGGCCTCTACGAACCAATGATGATGGGCGATACCGTGGCGTAGATCTCCCGGCCTGGCTGCGAGGCCACCTGCACAAAGATCTGGCCAGACATGGCCCGCGGAGGCTTGGCGGTGCATGCTTGCCGTACCCCTGACGGCCCATTCTCGTTCTGCCGTGCGGGCCCCTCAGGGCTCTCGACCCCCTCCCTGCGTGGCTCTGATTCCTCACCCCGGGCCGCTTCTCCGAGGCCCCCGCGCCCGAAACGCAGGCTCGCAGTCGCAGTCGCAGTCGCAATCGCAGTCGCCTCACGAGCGAGCGCTCGCAGTCGTCATTCTCTCATGGCATGAGGGAAGCAGGTCGGAGCGTGTTTCACGGGCGCCTGCCTTGGGAACATTCGGCGGCTCGTTTCGAACTGGAGGGTGGGCCCCCCCCCCCAACACTCGGCGCCGTCGATCAGAACCAGGGGGCCTCCCCTTCCCCCTAACCCCCCCCCCCTCCCGATCCCCCCCCCCGGCGCCGGCCTGGCGCTGGCGGCCGCCAGCAGCGCCGAAGGCCGGGGCGCAGTGACGATGACTCAGAGGGGGCCCAGAGGGAAGGGGGGGGGTCCAAACTCTCCCCCCCGCGCCAGCGCCCGGCGCCAGCGCCGGCGCTGGCGGCGGCCAGCAGCGCCGACGGCGGGGACGCAGCGACGATGACCAGAGAGGGCACAGAGGCCGCAGAGGGAACACACACACACACAAATCGCCATATCGAGCCCTCGCCCCCCCAGAAGCCACCGAGAGGCCCTTAGGAAGGTCCACGAGACTTCACACATGCTTCTCAGACGCCCCCGAGATCCTTCTGACAAGACCTCAAGAGGCATCTATTAGAACTCTGACCAAAGCCAAAACACGGTGGCGGGAAGAGCCGAAGGCCACACATCCACCACCACAAACCACAACACCACCGCCACCACCACCGCCACCACCACCACCACTATCACGACCACTACAAACCACCACCACCACAACCACCACCATCACCATCACCACAAACCACTACACCACCACCGCCACCAATCACGCCACCAGTTCCAGCACCACCACAACCAACCACGACCCACCACAACCACCACCACCACACCACCACCATACCAATACCAGCACCATCACCACCACCACCGCAACCACCACAAGCATCACCACAACCCACCACCACACCACCACAAACCACCATACCACCACCACCACCACAACCACCACTTTTACCACCACCACCACCACACACCACCCACTACCCACCACCACCAGCACCGCTACCAGCAGCACCAACGCCACCACCACCACCACAGCGCACCACCACCACCACCACCACCACAAACCACCACGCCACCACCACCACCACCAACCACCCCCACCACCACCTCAACCCACCACCACCACCACCAAACCACCACACAACCACCACCACCACCACAGCCACCACAACCACCACCACCACAACGACTCACCACCACAACCACCACAAAAACCCACCACCACTACCACCACCACCAGTCTACCACACCACCACTACCACAGCCACACAAGCACCACCACTACGAGGAGCGCAACACACCACCACCACCAGCAGCAAAAACCACCACACCAGCCACCACCACCACCGCCGCCACCACCACCACCACATCCGCAAACCACCGCCACCACCACCACCGCCACCACCAACACCACAAACCACCACACCACAACCACCACCACCACCGCCTTCACCACCACCACAACAACCCACCACCACCACCACCAACACCACCACCACAAACCACCACCACACCTCCACCAAACCACCACCACCACCACCCACCACCACAACCAGCCACCACCACAACAAACCACCACCACATCCACCACAACCACCACCACCGCTAGCACCACCACCACAACCCATCACAACCACCACAACCACTACCACCACCACAACCACCACGTCAAACCACAACACCACCGCCACCAAAAACAACACCTGAACCCACCACCACAAACCACCACAACTACCAGCACCACCACCAGAAACCACCACACCGCCACCACCACCGCCACCACCACCACAACCAACCACCACAACCACAACAACCACCACCACCAACCGCCACACCACCACCACCACCACCACCACCACCACCACCACCACCACCACCACCACCACTACCGCCACTACCACCACCACCACCACAGCCCATCACCACCACCACCTCAGAGAGTCCCCAAGAGACGCCCAAGAGGCGCCCAGGAGGCTTCACAAATGCCCTTCAGAGGCCGCCGGGAGCCCTCCGACGAGACCCCAAGAGGAATCCACTAGGACTCCAAGAGCGTCGTCGTCGTCGTCATCGTCGTCGCCGTCGTCCTCGTCGACGCTACCCGCCGCCGCCGCCCGCCGTCGCAGGCGCCAGCGCCGGCCCAGACAAGGAAGTCGTCGTCCCCGCCGCCGCCGCCAGCCGCCGCCGACTCCGTCGCCGACCCGAGGAGAGGGAGAGAGGAGACGTAGGGTAGGCGACGAGGGGGGGAGGGGGGACGGGAGTCCGGTTTCAACCCCTCCCCCCTTCCAAGCGACCACAGAACTCTCTCTTCAGAAATTCGGAACTTCTGTTCAGTCTTGATATATACACGTGTGTTGACGGTCCTGTGGCTCGTGGAGGGCCCAGGAGATCGAAAACGGCTAGGGCAAACTACAGGCCCCCTATCCTCCATGAGCTCTCTGTGCTGTTTTCCTGAGATCCGACGTTGCGAACAACTGCAGCATCGCAAACAAAAGCGACCAGAGCCCCACACAACCCCTTTTTCTGCATGTTCCGAGCGGGATCGATATGATGCGAGGGCCTCTGGGCCCGAAAACCTCCGCAAGCATCCATTGTGAACAAACATGCGACGCCGCACCTCAGGGTTCCTGCGTGACGCTGGAGGTCTGGCTCCCCTCTCCCCGCGTCTGAGCACCGTCTGGCCGATCCCTGTCCTCACGGGCGTGGCCTGGGTCCTCTGGCCGATCTACCCCTCCAGATGGGAATCTTTTTTTTTGGTGGGGGGATGAAGGCTCGAACTCGAAATAGGCCAAATCTAAAAAACGCCGGCCGGGTTCACGTCACCCCAAACGGGCTCCGGTCAGATTCCCCCCGGAGGCGACAGAGATGCACCACTGGAATTCCTAAATCACTTCGGTCAGGAACCCCACTCCTATCGAGCACAACCCTGAGCTGCCGGATTTTATATAGTCTGTTCCCTTCGGGCCTCGGGCGGTATATCCCCAACTGGTGTGGTGTGATGGTGGGGCTGAGATGCCATGGCCCGATGGGGATGGGGATACATATATATATATATGCTCGTTTAATACATCTATGTATATATATATCGCTGGATAAATATATATATATATATATATATAGTTTAAATAATGTTATATATATATATATTTAACGAGGCTGAGCGTCCAGTAGAAGAACAGCGGGTGCCTCGCCGTGATCGAGTGCACGGCCTGGGCCTGCTGCACCGCGAGCCGGAAAAAGGCGCGCTGGCCGTCGTCCAGCAGCCGCAGGCCCGAGTGCACCTCGAGAGGGCGGCAACTACGGGAGGTTCGAGTCGTGATGACTTTAGTGAAGGGGCCCAAGGACACACAAATAAATACACACACAAATAAAAGGATTCCCCATCTTTTCACATATTTTTGGGGTTTCTGTCTCCCCCCCCCACTTCCCATATTTTCCTATATTTTCTGGGGGTCGACGATTAATTGTGTCTGTGTGTTTTTCCCCTCCTGAATGACTTTAGGGCACGAAAGCCATGAGATCCGGGCGGTGCATGTTGTCACCAACGGGCGTTTTCGCAGGGTCTCGGGCCGCAAGGGCCATCGCAGCTCGATCTGGCTCGGCCCATGCAACAGAAAGATTGCGCCTGGGGCTCTGGTCGTGGTCTCAGCTATGTTCCAATGCTTGCCCACCAGGTCGTATCTCAGGAAAACTGGGTAAACATAAGCTCTGGCGCTGGACCTCCCTGCATGGCGCGCGGAGCGTCGTCGCCGCATCGCCGATGCATCGCTGGCTCCACACCGAGCCGCATCGGCGATGCCTCGCGATCCTCCGACCCCATCAACTCTGACTTCATCTGGGAGGCTTCAATCGACAGGAAGAATAACCTGCATACACACAATCTTCCAGAACTCCGCGATGACTTCTTGGATTGGCGCTAGCCTGGGGCGGCGCCAGAGGCGCCGCCAGGGGGGGGCACGCGGATCCAAGCAATCCGCGCGGGCCTACGAAAGACCAGTTTGTGCATGTGTTTTTCTTCGGGTGAGGACTTGCGCGTTGGTACTCTGATGCTGCATGGGTCGCTCAATATTGAACGATCGCAGCCTTCCGAGCGGACTCCGGGCCAAGGACCTTGCGGTTCCCAGAGATCCGATGTCTCAATTTCTTCAATGGGGTCCCCAAAAGCCCTGACCCCTTCCCCGGGGCCGGTTTTTCGTCCCGAGCCGTCCTGTGAGGGTCCCGGGTCCCTGCGAGGGCCCCCAGAGGCTGCAAACGGCGAGCAACTTGAGTCTGGGGACGATGTTTCGACCTTTTTTGAATGTTTGAAAAGGTGTGTTTTGACAATGTTTTATGTTTCGTCCTGTAGGGGGACAAGCCCGACTCAAAACGTGAGCCTGATTTAAGCAGATCTCGGACGGGGCTAGGATGAGGATAGATCCGCTCCAGAGCGTTCTGCGTTCCGGGACGCCCTGAGAAGGCCGCGGCGCCCGAGACACCCCCCAGAGCCGCCAGGATCTCATAGATTCCTGTTTTTTCTTCGAAAGATGTTCTCATCGTCCTGGCTTCGTATTGTGTTCGCGCGCGGGCGGCCCGCGGCCAAGGTGCCCCCAGCTTTCCGCTCCACGTCGGAGCCCCAAGGGGCCCTCTGGGCCTCGTGAGGGGGTGTCTGCGCGTGCGGTGGGCGCTCCCCTTCCCACCTGCGGGCTCGGGTGCTCGCCGCAGTGGAAGTCGGCCGCGTTGGGGGAGCAGCAGTCCAGGCCCACCGCCCAGAAGTCGTAGACCTCGAGCGGCAGCACGACCCCCGCATCCTTCCGGCGGCGCGCACGGGGGCGGAGGCGGAGGCGGAGGAGGAGGAGGAGGAGGAGGAGGAGGAGGAGGAGGAGGAGGAGAGGCCCTCTCGCTGCAAGCAAACGAATCTCGGCGGGCGCTGGTTTTTCCGAAGGGCCGGGCCAACGCCACCCTCCCATGAGCCTCTTTTGATTCGCGGGTCGAGAGCGCACCTCTTCCGGTCAAAGCTAAGCGGGCCGCGCAGAACTTGAATTACGCAGAGAAGGGGGAGGAGAAGAGGGGGCGCAGCCATAGAACGAGGCCGGGAGGAGGCAAAGCCTCGAAACCAGGCGGTGTCGAAGTCGACGAACGAGCCTCCCATGAGCCTCGTGATCGTCACAAAACACAGAAATGTTTTTCGCATCCCCCCAGGCCCAGATCAGCGAGGGGCGAGGCGCTTGGAGCCGACGTTCCCCCCCGAGGCCAAAGCCCCCCCCCTCCTCTCGAGAGGCCTCCTAGATGGTGTCGGAGGATCGCGCTGCATCGCCGATACATCGCCGATACATCGGCGATGCGTCGGGGATGCATCGGCGATGCACTGGCGATGCATCGTCGACATCGGCGATGCATCGGCGACGCAATAGTGGAGAAAATCGGGCTCCACATCGAGCCGCATCGGCGATGCGGCGCGATCCTCCCACCCCATCTACTCTGACCTCATCTGGGAGGCCCAAAATCTCTGCCACGCGCAAGGGGAGGCTACCCTTGGTGCACGGCTTGCCGAACCCCAGGAGAGACGAGGTCCAGACCTCCAGGGGTACACAGTGAATGATGGGCCTGGTTTCCACCACCACCACTATAAGTTGGAGGGGGGGAGGAGGTGGAGGACGAGGAGGAGGACAAAGATGAGGAGGAGGACGAAGAGGAGGAGGAGGAGGAGGAGGAGGAGGAGGAGGAGGAGGAGGGGCAGGAGGAGGACCCCCTCCGCCTCAAACTTATGGTGGCGGTGGTGGAAAGCAGGCCCATCAGTGAAGCCTCACGACGCCGAAGATGTGGCCGGTGCGAGAGGGACGGCCTTCTGAGAGAAAGCGGGGGGATCCCTTGTGCGCGCGAGGCCAGATCCTTGACGGTGATGGGCGCCACGCAGTAGGTGTCCTGATCCCTGAAGCCCATGGACCTGCTGAGGTCAAGCGTGGCGTTCTCCGAGAAGTAGACCAGGCCTGCGTCCATGAACTGCTGACCGGGGGTGAACTGCTGGCCTGGGCCGCGGGACGGGTTCACGTCCCGGTACTGATTGAGCGTCGTGGTACTGTAGTACCAGTGCAAGTTGGTCGAGTAGTTGAGGTCACCCAGTATCAGCCCCATCGCATATGCTGCTAACGTCGTGAGGAAGGCGAAGACCACCCAAGAGGGCTCCCGCCGGCGCCCCCTGATGGGATATTGGATGTGGGAGTCGGGTGAACAACATGGTCAATACTCGAATATCTCCAGGTACTCCCCAGAGTTATTCCCCTGAGTAGTCCTGGACTTACATTTGCGAGAAGATGAAGGGAATGACCTTCAATAGTGCTCATATGAGGGTAACGGAGCACATCTGCCGAAGTATTCCACCGTATACATGACACCACCAACAATCACGACCAGAGGTAATAATTCACCCCATCTTTAATCTTTAGCAGTGCCTCCGACAAGGGTCGACTCGTGAGCCTGAGAGCCCCAATGCCCCAGACCAGTCCAAAAACCCTGGCCATAATTTTTCTCGGGGCGCCCATTTGCCAAGGCCGTCCCGCAAATCCGCTGCGTCGTGATGCCCCTCTCCCCAGAACGCCAACGCCGCGCCTTCTGCCCCGACCAGGAGCAGCTGTTCGTCGCGGGCTGTTCTCTCTGACGACGCCAGGGCCCAGGGACGGCCCCCCCCAGGGAGTCTGAGACCACGGACAACACGCCGCAGGGTGGGGGGGTCACCCGACCTCGGCCCAAATTAGGACGAGAACGATCCCAGAGTTCTGGAGGATCCAGCGTCCTCCGTTTCTGCAGCCCGTGTGGACCCTTACGCAACCTTGTAATTCCAAGGAATCTTGGAACGCATCGGTCTGACCCATCAGCATCGTGATCATTAGCTCTTGCTCATCAAGACCAACACCCAGCCCCCGTCCCGTTTCGGGGAGGTGTGAGACTCGGGTCCGGGGACTCTGCCTGGCCCTGCGAGGCCGTCGAGAGAATGGCGAGACCCAATCCGAAACTTGACGCGAACCCGCGCTGCTGCCGCCCCACGACAACTGGACCGTCACAGCTCCGGGACTGGCTCGTCAAGCAACGGCACACCCGAGCTCCGGTGGTCTCAGGTCTTGCGTCTTCACGACCGCTGCGCTTCGGTCGGGCATGTCCCCCGACAGGGGGATTTTGAACGAAAGATAAAGAATACTCCAAACAAGTACTCCCAAAATATGCCGAGATTGTCAAACAATAGTCCTCAGACTATCTTTTAAAACTCTTTTTGCATATTCCCCCTGTAGAGGGACAGGCCCGACTTCCCGCGGCGCGCCCCGTCGGGAGGACCTTGGTCTCGAGGCCCGGCCGCGGCGGCAGAGGCCCCGCCGGGGAGGCCCCGGGAGAGGAGCGCCCGGAGCGGCGCCCGACGCGCGAAGAGGCCGTCTGGACCTGCTGCCCCGAGCAGGAGCCTCCGACGTGCGACTTGAAGCTGCCCTGCCTGCACCTTGCCGTCGCTCGGACGTCCATTGCCCGTGCATGTTTCGATTTCGTGCGTGTTTTTTTTGCTCGATGGTCCAGGATGGTTTTCGGTGGCTCTCGCCGAGAAAAAAATCACACGTCCGAGCGATGCCAAGTCACAGCGTTGCGCTACAGACTTCTCATGGGAATGCCCCAAAAAAAACACAGAGCAGTAAGACGAAGCCACGGCGAGGACAACATCGGGCGAGGATGCACGGTGAATCTCTGAGATCTGGCGGCTCTGGACGATGCCTCGGGCGCCGCGGCCTTTCCAGAGCGTTCCTTGTCGCTCTGGGAGCGTTCCGGAACGCTCTGGAGCGGACTGCTCCTCGTCCTAGCCCCGTCCGGAGACTCCCACAGGTGCTACGGGGAGCCCTGGACCGCCAGGTCTGCCAGCCGTAATTCCTACACCTGAACCAGAAATCGTGCTCTCGCCCCAATGCCCGCTACATGTTTGGTTGGGGCGGCCACGATCCCTGGTAAAAACACACGCACATATGCCCATGGCCGTGCCCCCTCGAGGCGGTGGAAAGGTCGGAGGGGACACGTCTTGAAAACTGCATTACCTAAGCAAAGCCCTTCAATAGTAGCAAAGGCACAGAGGCGGGTCGAGGAGGAGATCGGCTATAGCAAGTATGTCTGTAAGTGTATACGGCCGGACCCAGGACATATCAACACCCTTCAAGAACATGAGACGCTCCGCCAGCCAAACTAAAGAACACTCGAGGGCACCCTCCCCCAAGATGCACAAGAGCACCCAACAAGCACGAAGAATGTTAGGACACCCTCCCAAAGCCGACCTCGACCTGTACCTCGGTCCGACCGTTCGGTTCTCTCCCTCTCCCTTGCCGGATCCCTCTCTAGGCATCGGAGACGGCGTTGAGCCTCTGAAAGCTGCGAGGCGGCCGGCCCTGAGACACGGACAGGAACGTCAAGGCCAAGGGCCGAGGATGCTGGATGGGCAGGGCAGGGCGCCCCTGGCCATCCTCGCGAGCCCGCCCCAGCCGTCCTCCCCTTCTAGACCTTCGCAAACTCGAGAGGGACCGACAGCTGCGCAAAAACATACCTTCTCCGAGGCCCACGCCCAGCGCCGCTCCCACGACTCTGACCGCGGACCTCCCTCCTGCTTTTGCGCCGCTCTCTTCAGGGGGACGAAGGGCGGTAGAACGAAAGCAGGCTCTTCCGCCGTCGGGGGCCCCTGCCCAGGGGCAGCTGAGAAACTAGTGTCCCTGCGGGTGGCACGCTGGGGTACACACAACTTTCTGGCCGCCGTGGGGCAGGCGCTCCCGACGGCGGAACTGGAGGCCTCCTAGATAGGGGTCCGAGCAGCTGGGGTCGGAGGATCTCGCCGCATCGGCGATGCATCGGCGACGTCGGCGTGGAGAACATTGGGCCCAACATCGGCGAGGCACCGCCGACGCACCGCCGATGCACCGGCGAGGCGGCGCGCGAGCCTCCGACCTCAGCTGCTCCGACCCCAACCGGGAGGCCTCGAGAGGAACGGTCCACTCGGTACCGCCCGTCGCCCGCCGGCAGGCCGTCCCTGCTCGCTCGCCACCCCCGCGGACGGCCGTGCCGCGCGCAGGCGCCTCGCAGCCCGCCGGCAGGCTGTCCCTGCTCGCTCGCCAACCCCGCGGACGGCCGTGCCGCGCGCAGGCGTGCGAGGCGCCCTGCCGCTGCCCCGGTCCCCCCCCCTCCTCCTCCTCCTCCTCCTCCTCCTCCTCCTCCTCCTCCTCCTTCTCCTCCTCCGCCCTGCCCGCCTGAGCCTCTGCACCGCGGCGGCCGCCGCCGCGCAGCCCAGCGCGAGCACCACGAGCCCGCAGGCGGCCGTCAGGGCGCGGCACGCCAGGGGCTGCTCGAAGCGGAGGCGGAACGACCTCGGCGGCGCAGGGGCGGGGTCCGCCAGCAGGGGATCGGCAAGTCGGATCGGGTCGGAAGGGGCGGCGGATCGGGCTGCGCCAGCACGTCATCGAGATCGAGTCGGATCGGCTGCGCCAGGATGCACAACGACCCCGTGCAAGCATCGGGCCGCATCGCATCGTCGGAGTAGCGCAATCGAATCGGATCGGGCCAGTCGGAATCGACATCGAATCGATGAGTCGGATCGACATGGACCCTGGGAGGCAGAGCCTCAGATCCTCCAGCGCGGCGAGGGGGCGGGGGAGGGGCCTCCGAAGAGGAAGAGGTACGGAGACCGCTGCTCGTCGTGGGGATCCCGCGCCACCACGGCTGGACTCCCCTTGAGATTCTGGCCAGCATGCACCCGAGCAGAGGTCCAGGTTTATGTCGGGCGTGTCGCCCTGCAGGGGGATTTTCGACGAAAAATGAACAAAAAAAACACGAAAATAACCCAAGAAGGTCTAACAATACCCCAAAAATAGTCCCCAGACAATTCTTGGACTATTTTTGTATTATTTTGGGGATATTTTTTTTTTTCGTCGAAAATCCCCCTGTAGGGGGACAGGCCCGACTTAAGTCCAGGCCGTCTGTCCTGGACTTCCGGCGATCTGATGTGGCTCCCTCCGGGCGCGTCTTTCCTCGACGTCGGCCGCCGGGGCCCGCTCCGGGGCCTCCTCGGGGCCCGCAAAAACTCTCTGCGCCGGCGGCGGGGCGGAGCAGCTGCGCCGGCGGAGAGCCGACTAAACGGGGGTACCGTTGTGGCGAACGGAGGAGGAGGAGGAGGAGGAGGAGGAGGAGGAGGAGGAGGAGGAGGAGGAGGAGGAGGAGGACCGTAGCCATTTTGGCTCAAGTTCGAAACGTTGCCCTGGCGCTTCGAACTTGGACGCAGCCAAGGGGTTGGCCCGAACGTCCCGAGGATAGACCTCGCAGATTTTCACGTTTCTTGCGATTTCTACCCCTGCGTGAGCTTCAGTGCCTCGCAGACTTCGTTTCGGCCACACGACGGGGCAGGCCACAGCAGACAGCCCGCCACAGTTCAGATATGATGACATGGAACTGCCAGCGATGTTATCGGGTGGTCAAGTTTCATCACGTTTATTGTCTCTGTGGACAGCAACGGCCCAATGGCTGGATGGCCGAATATCAGTCAGATGTGAAAGGTGCAAAAGGAAAAGGGAAAAGCAAAGGCAAAAACACGTACCCGAGCGCCAGAAGATATCCGAGTCGCCCGCGCAGCCGTGCTCCCAGTCTGCCAAGAGAAGATCATCATACCAACAAGTTAGCTGCGATGAACAAGTCGATCGTTCAAAAAGTGGTTTCGAAGATACCCATGGCGTCGCCCTCCGAAGCAGAATCACATCCAAAGTGGATTGCTCCGCCAGTCACGGACGACCCCATGGAGGTTGGAAAGTTCAGGAGAGATTGTTTCACCAAGATCAACGGGCTGGCAATGGTCGCATACGCCGCTGGTCAAGCGGGTACCAATCACGACGAAGTCCGCACGGAGATCGCCATGTACATGTACGCAGTTTCGATGCTCAAGCCGTTGCACATACAGGCACATAATGCATCGAAGAGGAAGGCCTTGATCGAAGATTGTCTCGAGACAACCCGAAAGAAAATCGAGGAGCTTTCAAAGACCCAGTACGATCTAGAGGAAAAGCTGATCACGATCAACGAACACATCGAGTTCATCGAGAGAGCCATCCAAGAGGAGAAGGCCAATCGCGATGTCAATATGAGCGTCGGACGAGGAGAAGAACCAGTTCAACAGCAGCAGCAGCAGCAGGAGCCCTCTGCACCACCAAGCCGTCCTATTCCAAGCCCGTTCACAGCGGCGACCTCAGGTACAAGAGGAACACCAGCCACAATGTCGGCTTCAACTGGGCCTTTCGGATCATGTGCGTCATCTCCCTTCCATGTGCAAAGGGCTCCGCCAGCGCCAGTGATTCCGCCATCTACTCAGAGCAGTGCCATGGTCATGCAGATGCATCAAAATATGCTTGCCATGCAGCAGCAACAGGCTCAAATGCAATCGACGATGCAAAGAATGGCCGACCTGATGACACATGGCAAGCCGACTCTTTCTCAACAGTGGGCAGCCCAGCATTCCAGTCCGACTCCTGGTACGGAAGAGAGTTCAGTTTTTCAAATTGCCTCGCCAATCGTAGTCGGGGACACACCCCCTCATCCACAGGAACCTCCAGATGTCGAAGCACCGAGGACGCCAGTCAAAAAGAAGCCAGACGCTGCGGACATGGAGGTTCCAGATACACCAGGACCGACGCAGATGTGGGGCTCGATGATCGAGGAGGTTCCCTATTACGAGATGGTGTCGCCTACCCAGCCGATGGACATGACTCGGGTGGAACAAATCCAGGGACCCGATTCAGTTACACATGGGCCATCGCCTCCACGGAAGCGTCAGCGCCTGGAAGGCTACGAGCAAGAGGACATCTGAGCAGGGATGCAATTTGCCAGAGGAGATGGAGGTCGAAGACAGCGACAAGGGTTACGTTCGCTTCTTCGGTCATCCATCCATATGACGCATCAGTGAGTAGCCAGCGTGGCTCAGCAGTTCCACACCATCAAGAGGCCAGCTCCTCCCGCCACCCAGTCAAAAGCATTTTGGAGAGGAAGGATGCAACGGGAAGCATCCCTCCAGCCAGCTTAGACTCCAATTTCGATGTGCCGCTTTGCGGGCATGCTAGTCTCTTCGGGGTGTCCAATAGTAATAAAAAATAAAGGTGCTGCTAGGGTGAGACAGGGGAGGGTCCCCCTACAGTTGGACAGACTTATAACTAGTTCTCAGGTTTCACATGGGCATCATCCGTCGGGCTGCGCAGAGAGTGCACGTCCTAATACCCACAGCGAAGGAGAGGTCAGGGGCAGATCTCACACGCGTCGCACCTTTGCGCCCCCGATACTGTGTTTAGATTCGTTGCTTTTTCCGAGGGATGGTGAAGGCCGAGTGCAAGACTCCCCGGGTGAACATAGGATCCTGGGTCTTGCGACTTCACCGCGTGAGTCTTCTGAGGGAGCTCATGTTGTTTATTGTTCAGTTCTGGAGGACGCCGATGTCTTTCTTGAGGGGAGATTGGTTCGGAGGCCTGGAACTTTCGCATGAGATCAACGATATCGACTTACATCCTGCTGCAAAATTCGCAGTCGATGTCGCCCCCAGAGCCGAGTCGTTCACAGACCAAGTAGCCATATACACTGGTGGCTCGCACTATGAAGAACATCAAAAGGATGATGCGTGGGCGTTCACGGTCTGCTTCCTAGACCACGACGGCGTCAGTTTCAATGGGTATCGTAAAGGCTTAATAGAATGCACGATTCCAGAGGATGCCATACCAGCCAAGCCTAGCAGCACAGCTTCTGCGATTGCTGCGTGCATATGGTCCCTATCTTGGCTCCTCCTCGCTTCCCACACCGAGGACTGGCATCCTGCAGTATCCATTGGAACGGATTCGCTGATCACCTTATGCATTGCGGAAGGTACTTGTGTCTCCCATGAGCTGGCCAATCTTGCGGACATCATGCTAGGTTTGCATGACTGAGTGCGCAGCAGAATGTCTCTCTCTTTCCACCACGTCCCCTCCCATAACTTTCATCCGTGGAGCGAGCTGTGTGACTCTCTTGTCCGTTCGCCGCAGGCCTTTGAAGCTCATGTCCCAGAGCAGCTGCGCCCGTGGAAGTGGCCATGGTGGTGGGATGCCACGCCAGAGCGAAAGGCTGCCTACCCGACATTCAAGGATGGATGTTTCAGCGCCCAGTGGAAGCCACAGAACTGTCATCCCGAAATGGTTACTACCCCATCTCTCCCCTCGTCAAACCCCAAGACCGTTAGGCTCACCCTCAAAGTAACTACGCACAACGCCCTCGCTGCCAAAGATGAGGTCATTCAAGGCAAGCAAAAGCTCGTGACCAATAGGGGACTCTACCTACGGCAACAGTTCTCTCTTGACAATCAGGTCATAGTAGGCATCCAAGAAGCAAGACTAGATGAAAGCCGAGACGTGCGTAATGGATACATTACCTTTAACAGCCAATCTGATTCAGGGAATCTTGGGTGTTCCCGTTTGGGTTTCTTTACACCACCCATACGGCGCCAAATATGGAGATCCCATGTACTTGCATGAGCGACACTGCCGCCCGCTCCAGGCGTCTGCACGCATGCTGGTGGTGGCGATTGACGCCCCCCACCTTGCGCTCATTGCATGCGTAGCGCACGCCCCTCATGCTGCAGATAAGGAAGAGGTCAGGGAGGAGTTCTGGGAAGGAGTAAAGGAGGTGCATGAGAAACGGGGAATTGATCTTCTTCTCTGTGACGCTAATGCGCACATTGGCTCAGAGTGCTCATCTGCAGTCGGGCCTGAAGGATTTCGCGAGCAGCAAGATCAGTCAGGAAGTATGTTTCATGGTGCCCTTCCCTGTATGCAGCATAAAGCCATCAATACTTTTATCTCGCCTGGGGACATGCATCATACATACGTTAAAGATAAGCCCCAAAAGGCCGCCTAGTTCCCCCAGGTTCCCAGAGAGACTCAGGCATGCGCGAACAGGTTAAACGTCGGAAAAATTATATGTGCATAGCTGATCGGCTTTGGCCCATGGTGCAGGGCTGTTGGGTGATTTCAGCTGTAGATGGTTTGCACGGCGCCAGTGATCACATGCCTGTCAGTGCAGTCTTGGACACGACGGCTGTCAAAGGTGCAAGGGCACCACTCTCCTTTTTCCGACCTCCTGTGCTGACCTCCGATGTTCAATTAACCTTTCAAGAGCGCATAGCCAATATGCCAATCCCGCGGTGGGGCACTGACATGAACCAATACTACCGCGATTTCTGCAGTGAGACATTATGCTTTCTCTTTTTCCTCGGCCTCCCTCTGCACCCGAGACCCCTTTTGTTACTCCCCAATTGGTTGACGCCATTTCTTTCAGGAGGAGAATCCAACGAGCTCTCAGAACATTC